CTCTCTCCTCGTGTGTCGTCGTCGTGTCTCTGTGTGTGTGTGTGTGTGTGTGTGTGTGTGTGTGTGTGTGTGTGTGTGTGTGTGTGTGTGTGTGTGTGTGTGTGTGTGTGTAGGGCTGGTAAGGAGAGGAAGAAGCCGGACCGTGTGGTGTTTGACTGCCAGGAGAGAGCCTACTGGATAGTGAACAAACCACCGGTCAGTGTGTGCCTCGTTCCACACAGTAACTTTCCATTAGGATATACACACAGTTTATATTGTAATCGTGTTACACACTATACTGTATGGGTGAACGGGGTAAGAACACTTAAAGATCTGTTTAGGATCAACAACTGGACTTAGTTTAACACTTGGGGAAGTCAGTAAAACAAAAAAACACCATTTAAGATTTACAGTGTTATGTTAGAAATGTATAGTAGGGTCCCCAGCACATAGAAACTGCCGGATGCTAACCTGCATAAATTGAGCATTTTCACAATTATTATAAGTTGCATTAATTAACATTAATAAGCATATGCAGACAATAGTCAAAAAATGGCTTGGATGATTGTGACCGTTTTGGTGTGGTTTTTGAGGTTATTGAGGATGCTGCTTGTATTTCTGACATTTTCAGGATCGTAAATGGCAGTTATGAGTCCCCTAAGACTCCACTACAAATATGGCCACTTTCTGGTTAAAACTGCAATTTATGATCCTGAAAATGTCATAAATGGATCCATCATCCTCAGTAACCCCCAAAACCAATCAAAAACGGTCACAATCAGCCAAGCCATTTTTTAACTCTTGTCTGGATATACTTATTAATGCTAATTTATGCAATTTATGCTAATTGCGCAAATTGCCCAACATATGCAGGTTAACATTCGGCAGTTTCTATGTGCTGGAGACCCTACTATACATTTCTAACATAACACTTTGGGGTTCTCAACATTTCAGGGTTCACTACATATGACTTTATTAGCTGGCAAACAGAACATCATCTGCATCCATCATTCACGTGTGTGTGTGTGTGTGTGTGTGTGTGTGTGTGTGTGTGTGTGTGTGTGTGTGTGTGTGTGTGTGTGTGTGTGTGTGTGTGTGTGTGTAGCGTCATACTCACAGTGCTATGGACAGCGGTCTAGAGCTTCTTATTGATCCTAACTCGGATGAGGTAACAGGTCAGTATACACCCCACACACACACACACACACACACACACACACACACACACACACACACACACACACACAACAACACACACTCTCTCTCACACACACTCTCATGAAGTGGATTGAGGTCAGCTGGTCTTTTAAGAAATGTACGAGCTTAACACTTAGACGACTGATCTGTGGAGATTAAAACCTTCCTTTCTCTCCTCTCTCCTCTCTCCTCTCTCTCCTCTCCTCTCTCTCCTCTCCTCCCCTCACCACTGATCCAGCACAATCACAAGTCTTGAATAGTAGTAATGTATGTATGTCTCCTGCTGTGAAGGGAAACCATGTCATGGCTGTTTCCTTGTGTGCCTCTTTCTCTGTTCACAGTTCTCCTTACACTGATGAAGATGAGAGGAAAGGGTTACAAATACACATGCATTTACACACAGTATTTCACCCAGTTTCATTCCTGTGTACATTTAACTCGTAAATACATTTAGTTTTTAGTCAGTCTCTTTAGATATTTGACTTTCCAGCATAAAATCAGGCAGAACAAGAACATTTCAAATGAAACCCTAAACTTTTACTTTACCATTATTTGTAATGGTTTACACAGGACCATAGCCAACGTCTCATCTTCTCAAATATTCAGTACATTTTTATTTGTTTAATGTTTTATACGTGTGTAACCCCTGCAGAGACAGTTCTGTGTTGTCGTTGTCTGTGTGTGCTGGTAGCCTCCTGCAGGTGTATCAGCATGTTAGCATCAGCATGTTAGCATCAGGATGTTCCTCTGTTTCACCCGCAGCATGCTTTCACAATACTACGAGCCAAACAAACTGTTCACATAAACACTGCTTTTGTCTTCTTGTCTCTCAGAAAATCCCTTTTGACACGTACAGACGCATGGTGAGTCATACTATTTCATGAGGTTTTAAAATACACGTGAAATATTGATTTGTTCACAGCACACCTGAATCAACGTAATGTTCCCCAAGCTGATGGTCTGAAGCTGTATATGTACAATCACAATTCAACAACACATTTTGTATGTGTTTTTATTCTTTCATTTTAGAGCCTGTTCTATCAACAAGCTATCATGAGGTCAAAGGTCAAATCTAGCGTGTCCCTTGGAGCGTAAGATCCTTTTTATTGTATCTACATTGGAATCTTTCTATGGGTTACTAATTATTTGTAATGTTACAAGACGAATCATGTTAGAATCACATGCACACTTTCTCAGATCTTTATGTGATCTGTATCCTTCTCATTACATGAAATAAGTTGTGATATTAAGAACGGCTAACACATTGGGCAGAGCAGCTGGAAAAGCTAACACGAAAGCACTTTGTTCTCGTAATAATTATAAAAATGATGTTTCCGCAGACTGAACAAGTATGTCGCAACCTACAAAAACCACGACCCCTTCCTCGCCCCGTGTCTACCCAGCAACCCCTGGCTAACCGACAACGACACGTACTGGACGCTCAACATGAGACAGTGAGGGCTTCCTTTTCCTGGGCAATATGGGATCTTTCAGCTCAAATTAAATATAATGTTTGTAATTATTTTTCCGATTGGTGCATAATCACCTGCAGTGAAGTAAAGTAACAAAGTGTATTTACTCAAGTATTGTAATTGAGGTACTTTGTGCAGTTGTGCTTTACTTGAGTATTTAAATATATTTGCTTGGTTTGGATGAATGATGTGAAATATAATCAAGGGTTTACTCAGACTTTAGTTCCACCTGGAGTAAATTCACAAGCTACCCTGCAGTATACAAAGTCATTCAAACTAGCTGCACCTTTACCAGCTTTGAGAACACTTTGATGATCAATCATTATAAAACATATCATATATATTATTCTGAAATGGACCAATCTGCACTTTTACTGTCGCTACTTTGGGTACAATATGTTCAGATGAAAACAATGTTTAATGTGTAATATAAATGTGTTATCCATACAGATGGGTCAGCATGTTACTGACCAGCGTTTTTTCTTGTGTCCAGAGTGGAGGTCCCCACTAAGATGCGTGTGGAGCGCTGGTCCTTCAGCCTGTTCGAGCTGCTGAGCGACCTGCGAGGCCGCGACGACTTCAAGGTCTTCCTCAAGAAGGAGTTCAGCGGTATGGGGTCAAATGACATCAAACACCACTCAGTTGGGGTTATGGCTCGCTTGTGTAGAATGTAATATTTTTATATTGTATTGCATTCAGTTGCTATAGTATATGGATAGAATGTAGAAAGAGATCTTAAGATATGCAGCCTACACAGGAGATACTGTGTTTATATGCACAGCTCAGTGTTTTCATTCAGATAAACCTTTTGCAAATGTCCTGTAAAAGTGTACTCACAGGTGTTACCTTCAGTGGGCAAAATGATGTTATGCTTATTTTAAATGTTTGCAGGCTTCACCAATACTTCTATCCTACGTACAGTAGCAGAAGATTAATGTCATAATTATACTGTATATTCATCACAAACCTCTGTGTGTGTGTGTGTGTGTGTGTGTGTGTGTGTGTGTGTGTGTGTGTGTGTGTGTGTGTGTGTGTGTGTGTGTGTGTGTGTGTGTCAGGTGAGAACCTGGCATTTTGGGAGGCAGCTGAAGAACTAAAGTGGGGCACTGCATCTTCGATGACATCTAAAGCTGAGACCATTTTCAAGTAAGACAGAAAACTCACTGTGTGTGTGTGCGTGTGCGTGCGTGCGTGAGAAACTATTGCTTCTAAAAATATATATATATATATATCTCCTTTTTGTTGTGAACATGCCTATTGGGCTTTATTTGACATGTGATGAAAAGAGCAACCCAACACTGAGTGAGTTTCAACACGTTCTGAGAGGAAATGTTCTTTGTATGAAACAACCCATTGTTTCACATCAGCTTTTTCCAACTTTTCCCACACACACCAACCTCCCTCATACAGTGAGAAGAAACACATACTGTACAGCAATGTGGAACATTTGAATTTTGTCAGAAAAAAGTCTGATCACATCTACTAGACTAGAATCACACCCATGACTGTTATTTTTTAAACATATTTTCAAATATTTACTGTTGTGCCTTCTTTTTATATATTTATACCTAAATGTGTGTATATGTACATATATGTCTGTGTCACACAAATAGAGGAATTGACAATAAAGTTGACTTTAACACATTTTTCAAACACAGTGAGTAGAGAACATCCCATCCCCAATTTCCTCCCAGATATTGATGTGGAGTCTTTGTTCAGGACCTTCCTGGCCCCCGGGGCCCCCCGCTGGATCAACATTGATGGCAGGACCATGGGCCTGACGGTGAAGGGCCTGGATCATCCTCACCGCTACGTGCTGGAGGCCGCGCAGACACACGTATTCCTGCTCATGAAGAAGGTATTCTGTGTGATGTGGAGAAGCAACAGCGAACATGTCTAAGCATGGCTATTAGTGCCTAAAACATTCATCTTTAGAAATAAGCTTTTCTTGATTATTGTGAGGATATTTCTCCCTGTTTGGCCACAGTGTAACAGTGTATGTTCCTAATTATTATGGGCCTGCAATATATTATACAGACAATACTTTGTCTAAATGCCCAGAGTTAAGGCATGTGTGTCACACGCTAGTGTGAGGTTCCTTTCTATACCAGCAACTAATTTCCACCGTCAAAGAATAGAGTACCACAGGACAGATTTTAGGTAATTTATTATAGCCTACTCAATAAATTACAGTTTATAAATAGATCTATAAAAATGGTTAAAAACAACAAGGTAATAATACAAAGGT